TGTCTTTAAAAGGCCTCCTTTATTTACTTCCTTAATCATTGGTTCTTCACTTTCTGGATGTGATCATTCAAGCTGTTTTTTTCTTCTTCCACAGTCTGTTTTACTTGTATTAGTCCCCAATCACCCTCTGCTCTTGGTAGATATAATCGGTCAACATCACTTTTAGGGTGCAATGCATGATTCATTGTCATATGCTTCCTTGCTTTTCTGTACAAATTGAATATTGAATCACAGCTATGGCCCAGGTATTTATGGCTTTTATGATGTTTCCTCCATTCAATTTGCACTTTAATATCCTGCGAATTCATCAAATGTACTTGGCTGAAGTTAATTCCTTGACTTTATTATGCATTACGTCAGAGGCCTCTAATATCCCCAAGTACTTGTAGCCTTCTTCTGGTTGTTGTTGTTGTTGTTGTTGTTGTTGTTGTTGTTGTTAATTATTATGGCTACTTTCAACCCATTGTATTGGCTTTATTACTATTCTGAACCTACCCACTACTCATTTATGAAAATCAGAAACAACTGAAAAATGATCACCAAACTTCTGTATAAATTGCTTTAGCCATGACACTAATTATAGGCTAAAACAGCAGTAGTAACAATGTTAAGTACTATGATTGTTGGTTTTATTAATACAATTGGTCATTACTTTCATTGCTAATGGCTGGTGTTTGATTATACTTTAGCTGATCAGTTAATTATGATTATGTATTTAGAGAAAACAGCAATCTTATTTGACTGTGATTGAAACCAAAGAGCCAATCAGGGTTGGGAAGAATTATAAGGAAATTCTATGACTATAGACTAGATTAGGGGTGTCAAACTGGTAGCCCATGGCCCAGATGCATCACACGCAGGCCAAGCCCACTCCATCTCCACAAAGAGAAAAAATGTCACGAAATGTCACCCAATGGCAACATGATATGGCCACTTCGATGCCAGTGGGCTAGATGGGTATTTTTAAAAAATCCAAAAAAAAATTGGCAAACCATGATCATATTCTTGAGAGGATTACATGAATATGTCCAAAATACTCAGAATGCTTTAACTGACAGTAAGCTTTTACTTTATCTAAACTTTTAATGACAGTTCCTCCTGTTCTTATTTACTATCCTTAAAATTGTATAGACTTTGTATATTTAGAATAGTAGTGCTAATAGATCCAGGCATTTGAGGTATATTTCTTTGCTCAATTGCATTGATTTGTTGCTTCAATAATTTAATTTCCTGCAGCAGCAATAAGCTAATTGTGTCAGAATGATAGATTTATACACTGAGACGACAAGGACCAACCACTAGAGTATTGTCAATATAATATTGTCTAAATATTATAAAACCAACTTCTAATTAGTACATTATTGCAGATGTTGAATAAAATCTAGTAATGAAGCCATATATAAGGAGCCAAGCAGTTCTTATTAATGGCTTAATTTAGGCAACTTCATAATTTTTAAAGAATATTAGATTATAACCAGGATTGAGCAAATAATTTGTATACTCTATTTTTTGAAGCTAAAATCTAAATTATGATTAAGCTTTTATTATTATAATTTCTTTATTCTTTCATTCTTCTTTATTTCTACTACAAAATGTATAATTAAATTAACACTTACATTTAATAATGATACACAAGTATTACCTTGCCATCCAGGTTTACACACAGGCTTAACTTCAACACGTACCAGGACATCTTCAGTTGCACGCTTCTGCCCACAGTCAAAAGCTGTTACCATTATTTCATACTGATGCTCTTTGTCATAGCTGAGCTTTTCAGTATTTCTGATATTCCCTGTAGGTATAACACAGAACAATAAAAAGCTATTATTTCATTGCCAACTTACTGTACTAGTGCCATTTACTATAATGAAATCTATAATAATCGCCAGTAGTATACAAAAGAACTTCTGTATAAAAGGAAATGGGGACAAAAAGTAGAAGAAAGACTGAACTCCATGGGATCTTTTCTTTAATTTTACTTCTTATTTTCTTTTTCTCAAAGTTCTTCAGAATGTTACAATCAAGCTATCATCTTATACAGGATGGGACCTGACTCTCCAGATTAGGTTCATCAGATACAGAGAAAATAGCCAAGTATTACAAGTATTGATTGAAATAGAAACATACTGAATGCAGCACTTGTGATGAAAATGTGACTACCCTCTGCAATAAGGTCACATCTCTAGACTAATGCAACATGAAAGAATATGTATAGATACTATTTTTCTTTGATGAATCAACAAGCCGCATAGCACCTTCAGCAAATTTAAATTAATTAATAATTCTGTTCTTTCATAATTACCTGGTGTCTGGCAAAATTTATCATGTTAAATTTTTCTCTTGTAATAGCAATAGCATTTAGGCTTATATTCTGCCTCATAGTAATTTACATCACTGTCTGAATACTTTACAGCATCAGCACATTGCTCCCAACAATCTGGGTCTTCATTTTACCAATCTCAGAAGGATCGAAGGTTGAGTCAATCTCAAGCCGAGTCAGAATCGAACTCCAGAGTTTGCTTTTAGTAGTGCATGCAAACCACTGCCCCACCAGTGGTCTTGTATTGAATGTATTGGAAATGACTAAAGATTAGTCTACTTATCAACAAAAATTACAATCTGGAGGTTTAGTTTTTTCTTTTTGTTCCCTCCAGTTGCTTCAGTTCTACATCACTGGCAATATTTATTTTGGTTAAAATAAAGGCTATTGTCAATATTTATGGTAAATTTGACCAGTACTTCACTTAGTTTACTCAATGTTGCAAAGAATTTTTTTCATATTCATCATCAGAAAACTGAATTTCTATTTTTAGCTAAAGGGAAGATTCAATTTTTATTCGGCTCAAATTGGCCCCAATTGGTTCTTCTTACAGTTCACATGATAGTAACTATTATCAAGCAATGATTTTAAGGAATCTATCCCTCACTGTTTCTCATTCTGTTTTCACAGCCATTCTTTTTGAAAGACCATTCCTTTAATATTCTGTCTTCACTGTCATTAAATGCCCTTAAACTTCATGAACTTTTCCAAAGTAATTATGTCATTCCTGTAATTAATCTTTGTTTTCTTTACTACGCTACCATATTCTCTATTTTCACCTGTTCCAGATTCCATGAAAACAATTTGCTTTCCATACTCCTTCACCATCAGCTGTGAGTGGTTCACTATGTTATGTCCTGGCGTGGCTACTGGCAAGCGGAGAAGATCCCTATTGGCTGAGGCGTGCCTGCCATCTGGAAGGACAATTGCAAGCTCCTGATTGGTTGCCTGTCTGACACCTAATAGTATAAATAACTGTCAGACAGGGGACACTTACTCTTGTTGTTGGTTAACTAGTTCTGTTAAAATAAAGCCTTGATGGTTACCATAGTCTCCTCTCATTCCTCAGTAGCTTAATACAAAGCACTGGCGACGAGGGTGGGATCAGGTTTCTAAACACCTCCCACCAAATTTAGACATTACCGAGGGGAAAAAAAACACATTTTTTTTTGCCTCACAACTATTTTCACTATCATGTCTATGATTCCCACTTTTGCCGCTTTTATTCCAGACAAGGAATCTTAGGAAGCATTCCTTTAGAGATCTGAATGCTTTCTCAATGCAAACAATTTTGCTGAAATTTCCTCTGAAAGGAAACAAGGCTATTTTTTAAGCTTGTGTGGCCCGGAGATGTTCTCCACAGCTATGGCTCTAGCTGCTCCTGTGCCTGTGCACTCACAACCATGGAAAGTCTTGATTAATAAGTTAAGAACCCATTATGCTCCAGCCCTGTCTCGCATAGCCCATCGGAATGCTTTCCAAAAGTGCACTCAGGGTGAAGGTGAGACAGTGAGCCAATACATGGCTGCATTGAGGAATTTGGCCATACATTGTGAATTCCAGAACCTTGATGAGGCTCTATTGGAGCAATTAGTCTGTGGAGTAAAAGACATGCATCTCCAACGTCGTTTATTAGCTCGATCTGAGCTTACATTGCAAATCGCTATGGATGAGGCTAGAGCTGTGGAACAATCTGACAGGTCTGCTGCCGAAATTCAGAGGTATCAGGCTGCCCACAGTCAAGCCTCCTCTTTAGCGGCAGTCAATCAGAAATGTGATGGAGAAGAGACCTCAGTGGGAGATGATGACGACATCAGTTACCTCAGAGCAACCCAGGGGAATAGATGGAAGGCGAAGGCGAAAACTTCCCGGTCCAACTGCCTAAGCTGCGGCAGTAACCACTTGCGTTCCAATTGTAAGTTCAAGACGGCCCCCTGTAGGCATTGTGGGAAGACGGGCCACCTATCATACATATGCCGTGCCACAATACCTTCCTCTGAGAGGGCTGGACCCAGACCTTTCAAGAAGCAGTCTGGCAGAAGAGCTAGCAAACCCAGTGAGAAGTCTCATATTATCAACCACGCTGCGGATTCTGAAAAGTAATCTGGACATAAAAAATTTACTTCACAGTGTTGAGACACCGATGCCCTAATGGGACAGAGGCAACCATTGCTTACTTCTCTCAGACCTTGTCCAAGTCTGAGAGAAATTATAGTCACCTGGATAAGGAGTCTTTGGCAGCCGTAGCAGGAATCAAGTGATTCCATAACTACCTATATGGCCACCACTATTTGCTCCTTACTGATCACAAGCCTTATTAGGGATTCTAGTTGGCTACTGCCCGGACATCCTCTCACCACGCATGTCACAGTGGATGGTCTTCCGGCTCCAGCCCAAGAACTGAGATGCTCAGGGTGGAGCCGGTGTTGGCCTGCCTATTTAATGGACTACATCTGCGCAATCTGGGGGGAAAGAGTGTTATGTCCTGGCATGGCTACTGGCAAGCTGAGAATATCTCTATTGGCTGAGGTGTGCCTGCCGGCTGGCAGAATAATTACAAACTCCCAATTGGTTGCCTTTCTGACAGCTAATAGTATAAATAACTGTCAGACAGGGGACACTTGCTCTTGTTGTTGGTTAACTAGTTCTGTTAAAAGAAAGTCTTCATTTTTACCATAACCTCCTCTCATTCCTCAGTAGCTAAATACAAAGCACACTAAGCACACTGATTGAAATTACTTTCTTTTTTAAAAAAATATATATTTATATGTTTACCTTCTAATTTTGTTGTCTTAATTAAGCTCTCTAAAACTTCCCTACTTTAGCTAACGAAGTCCCATATGCATATATCTGATTCCTAATGTATCAATCTCTAATTTTAATTCCAGATAGCCTTCCTTTCATTTTTACTATATTGGTTATTTCCTTTCCCTTTCCATTTGATTAACTGAATTTTTTCTTAATCATCCTCTTTTTTCATTTTTATTATATTTAACTCTGTTTTTCTTTAAGATAGCAACCATTTAACTAATTACTTGCAATCTATCATTTCATCTGCCTTCAGGTAAATTTTGACTGTCAGAGATTGTTTGAATAAGTCCATGGCAAAATAAATAAATAAATAAATAAATAAATAAATTTTTAAAAGCAATTCTAATATTTCAATACCAATAGTCTAATATATGGAAATTAGAATGATCTTATCCCTCTTAGTATTTCATAAGGTCTTAACCAGGTCTCAAGCTTTCATAAGGCCTCAACCTTTCATAAAGTCTCAACCAGTCTATGCTTGGGGTGCTTAAGTGTTCTAAGGACTTCATTTCCTGGCTGTATGGCTAGCTGGCCAAGTATCTTATTCCTATGTACATTCAAACTGGATGTTGTGGTGGTTTTGCATACATATAATGTGTTTACATAAATACACAATATTTTTACAGGCTTTTATATTTACCTTTATAATATTTTTTCTATTTTGGAACTACATCAATTGATTGAAAATAGTTCTTTTCTTAATTGAAGAAACAAAGAAACAAAGATCCAGCCTTGTTTATATCCCAGTTCTCTGATTTCAGAACTAGTTTGTTCAATTGAAGAATTAAGTTTTAAAAGGAAATGTATTGTCCTATGTTCATGAATAAATGATGGTTACAGTTCATAATTATGACACATTCATGCACCCCCAGTAAGCAGTCCCTAGCTGTGTACTTAATTTCAAACATAGTCTATAAGGTTTCATTCCAAACCTCATTCCATCAACTTTGCACTGACTCCAGCCAGCTTGAAAACAGCCTCCAAGAGAACAATATAGGAAACAGGCTCGTTGTAGTGACAGCTAAATAGCTAACAACTTACTTCACCCTCCAAGGTCTGGCAGTCATTCTAACCATTAAAAGAAATCTCTGTACAGTTGGCCTACATTATAACCACAGTCCCAAGTAACACACTGCTTTTAATGAATAAACTCCTGATGATAACATAAATCTTAATATCCCCTAAAGCTAAATAAAAAGTTGCAACTGTTAACATACATGCTTTAGAAGATTGGTTTCTAAAAAGCCTTTTAATCATTCATGAAAGATCACCAGGGCCACAAAATGCCTACAAAGAAAGGAAATAAATATTTCAAATGAGATCTCTAGCTTCATGGAGTTCAAATATAAGTGTAGGAACTGCAAACTATAAAGGACTATTCTTTTCTTTTAAATGTTGGGCAGTGCTCTGTATTTATGATCTTATTACTCACAAATAAGATTACAGTAATCAAAGCTAAGAAATTGCAGCAAAAGTCTGTACCATATAGAAATAATTGGTCTATAGCATTATATTATGATATGATATCTAATATGATATCTAATATATAATTCTGATATTGTGTTGCATTGTATGATATATGATATGATATTAATATTTTATATCCTGCTTTAACATCTTGGGGCACTCAAGCAAAAAAAGAATGGACAATTAAAATATCATGAAACAAAATTGCACTAAGTCCATTGGTTACTGGCTAGCAGCCTATTTGACATATTTTGCTCCACCTGCAGTCTCTAGGCACTTCTCAAGAGTAAACACATTGTATTAGTAAGTTGGGATGTAACCAAAGCATGGGTACTGATGTCACGTTAGACTTGCTCAAGAATGGATACTGCTTGCAGTAGAGGTCTTATTATGCAACCATTATAAACCAGAAATTGAGATATGCCCAGATTAGTTGTTCTGTAAAGTAGCTTCAATTGGGACACGCTTAGGGTCAATCCTAGACCTAACTACAGTATAAATGTGAAATACGACTCAGAAATACAACATTGAAATAATATATTGTTCTTCATCTCCTGTAGAGAAAAATTGATCAGTGTTTGTGTGATTAAGGTTTTTTGCTCCAATCTACAGGGCGGGGCATAACCTTTTCCTAGGGGGTCACAGCAACACTTGTAATAACAACACAAATAATTCATACACCATTCGAAAGCCCATCAAAAACTGAGTTTATTGACACGATTTAATAGTCAGTATGACCACCATTAGCCCTTCGAACAGCATTCAAACGAGGTGGATAAGAACACAACAAATCTTCAAACAGTTCCGTTCGATTTTCCAGATTTTTCAACACAGTTTCCAAATTCATTCTCAAAGTTTCAACCGAATATCGATTTTGACCTTGCTCCTGAATCATCAGAGCTTCCACTTCATCCTTAATTATGGCCCCAATGTTCTCTGCCGGATTGAGATGTGGCGAATTTCCCGGCCAGACGTCATTGCCCCAAAATTCGACATTGTTTTCCTTTAACAATTGCTGAGTCGCATTTGCACGCATGCAAGGAGCTTTGTCATGAAGAAAGACAGCCTCACCAACCACCAAGACATTGTCTGGATCACTGAGAAATGGAATGACATTCTCCAATAAAATTTTCTCACGGAAATAACTGCCATCCCAGGATTCCCCTTTATCCTTCAAAACCCAATGCAGTTTCTTGGCTGTGAAAATGACGAAAATCCCGATGCAAGTCGGATTGCGAACGATTTCAATGATCCTTTGTTCTTCCAAATCGAATTTTCCAGCCATTCTTAAAGCAAATTTAACATTTAATAGCTCATTCAATTCAGTTTTTTATGGGCTTTAAAATGAGGTGTCGCGGAAGTTGTAAACTGCTGTCGATCTTGCTGTGACCCCCTAGGAAAAGGTTATGCCCCGCCCTGTACTGTATATTACTTTATATTTTTAAATTAAACTAAATATAACAATTGGTTGACTTTAAGGATATGTTTATAATCAGCTTCACCATTTTCAGATATTATGAGCAGAGTTTCAGTTCAAGACCCATTTGTTTCGATGGGTTTGACACGTCCTTCAAATCCCCAGTGCCCAATTATTTAAATCCATCTCTCCTGACATCAGCATTCATGAACTGTGCCTGATTGACAGATAATGTTTCTAAGAATACATGGCACATGAATCTGAATTTCAGTCTCTACCTAGATGCCTATATTTGACTTCTACAATTTCCCAAGTATGTTTCACGGTGTCATTGAATCCAGTGTGGATTATGACCACCCTAACTTTAGCACTTTTATAAAGATCAAATTGTCCATAGCCAAAGTCCTACTGCCCTTCAGAAAAATATTCTTAACCAGAAATGATATGGATTAATCATCCAGGCATTCGGTCTCTTCCACAAGAATATCTCTTTTAACCACAAAATTATGTCAATCCTTTTCAAGATCATTAAGAGAATTATCAATTTGGCAGTAGGATGATGCTATCATATCTCAGAAGATTTAATCTACACATTGATCTGGCTCCTCATCTGGTTTCAAGGAAACTTTTGATGTATTTCATGAAATCCAGAAGCTTCTTGCACTGAACCCAAACACAATGTCGATGGGTCTGATAATTATATATTGTGTATTCTGTAGGAAGTTTCTTGTTCTATAGGAACTATTTGACTTGAACACTAATCTTCAACTCACTGTTGCTAAATTCATCTTGATGCTCGGTCTCTAAAGGTAGGAAGTGAAGGTTTTTTTTCCCTTTCTCTTTCCAGCTATTCTGTAAAAAATTCATAATCTCAGCATTTATATTCCAGAAAATGGAAAAACTATATAAATATTGTACAGAATTAATTCTCACCAAGCATGATAATAAGGATAAAATATCTGCATTACTCAAAAAAGCAAGCTTGAAAATTAAAAACTACAGCTCCTTAAATGATCTAGAAGTAACTTATGCTGTATGAGCCTTTGTTTTAGAACACTTTCAACAAAGAACTAGGCTAATATTTTTTATTACATCATTTAAATTATATTGAAAGTCTTCTTTCATAAAAATATACAAAGATGAAGAGGGCCAATAGGAGTAACTGTAGAGCACCTAGTGTGGCAAATGATAGTACTTACATTATATATCACACGTAAAGGGCAAGTTATCCACCTGTGTATGACATCAAGATGTTTTTACATAGCTATATTATTACTGTGACATTATTCTAATGTCATTGAATACATATTCTCTAACTGCCATCTGAATTTCACCAGTCCTAAGTTTTTCCCCATTATCCTCTGACTCTTAGTTATGCACTTTGAAAAAAGCAGTTCAGATAGAGGTTGAGGTCAGTGTCAAATGGGGAATTGGTTCCTCTAAAGCAGTGCAATATAAAATGGCTTCTAAGAGAGAGAAAAAAAGGCTCTGCACTCATTTTCAATTTATAATTTTGGTAATCCACTGATGGAATTTCAGAAATAAAAATCTTCACTATTTCCAGCACCCTGGAAATATTTTTACATGAATGTATGTTATATATAAATATGTCTACTCAAGGTATAATAATTTAAACACAGATTGGATCCAATCATATATTTATGAAAAAATTAAGGTTGACATACAACCTAGGAAAAAGACATCTGGATTTCTTTAAAAAAAAACAATTATTGTACATTTGTCTCCCCAAACTTTAAATTCACTGAAAAGAAAATAAACAAATGAATTCAGTTAACTAAAACCAGGAACATTGGGAATCAAATATCTATAAACTGGATATCTCATAGCTAAGGTTCTAATTTAAAGTTTTACAATAAAAACATCTAAAATGATTGAAATCCTATAACATGTTGGCGTTATTAATAAATTATTAATAATATCAGACATCAGAATACTTAAATATTTCAATCAATTTATAAGACTCTATGAAAATCTTGTAAGATGTTAATTATTTTAATTATTATTTTTTTGCAAAAAAAAATTTTCCACTATTTCATTAAATTGAGTCTGGTGCCTAAAAAGAGTGATTCCTCCTTGCTTTTAAGTTAAAATTTTAAGTTAATTTTCTTTAAGAAGGTATTCTTATTGAATCCTCTAGATGATTTTTAAAAAAGAAAATAGTTCTGAATACAAACAAACATCCAGAAGATACTCAGAATGAACAGTAGAATCTAAATAATGTTGTACTGATTCTAAGCAGGATTGTCTTAAATAGATTACAATTGGTTTACAGATATGGTTAATAAATTGAAGCTAATATTTTTTTCAAGACAAAATTGGAAAATTAGAAGCCACCATAACGCCAACTTTGATAGAAAAATAAATGCTTTCTAGAAAGATATCTCTCAGTTTATAGTCCAAAAAATGCATTATATGTCAAATGTCAAGCACTCACCATTCCTGTCAATGGCAAATGGAACATCAGTTGTGACAATTTCATAATTGCATATCTGGCTGTATTGAGGGGAACAATCTTCATCCATGGCTTCTACCTGTAATACACTGTCGTAGATCTTTCCTTCTGTCACTGTAGCTTTATAAGATGCTTCTTTAAAAGCAGGTGCAAATTCATTAGCATCTTTTACTTGGATATGGACCACAGCTCTAAAAAGAAAGACTATTATTCTCAATTTCTACTTATTTTCTAAATCCACTGTGGTATGGACAGTAGCATTTTATGCTTAAATTTTATAAACAATTGGTGCTAAAATAATATAATTTCTATATGAAAAATGGCTAGAAAATATGTAAGTTTGAAGACCTACCAATAATTAATAGAATTAAAATATGTATTTTAATGAACTACTTATTTAAACTAATTTTTGGATTAACTTCACTTTTTACTGCACTTCTCTATTATTTTCTTTTCTTTTATGTGGATGTTAAATATTGCAATTCTCACAATGTTGATAGAATATAATACTCTCTCACAATGAGATTGCCATGTATACTGAATGCAACCAACACTTTAAATGTTCACATTGTTAAATCAACAAATATTTTCTATTTTGTAATTAGAATATGATTAGAAATTACTAAGAATCAATTGTCAAGAATAGAACATCAGTTTACATTATGATCTATATTACAATTTACACACAAAAAATGAAAGGAAATCAAAATAATCTGGGACATATAAACAAAGTAATAACTTTTTTAATTTCAAAAATCAACTGATTATTTATTAATAGGTAAAAGAGAGGATATAGCTATTACAACTGCAGACATTAGTGTGTTTAAAATAATTGCTATTCTATCTAAATGTACTATTGAAGATGCCAGTTTTACTTGATCAGAGAGCAAGAAAAAATTAACATACAGTCCTATGAATTTTGTTTTAATTTCTTCTTTAACAGCATTGATGAACATTAGAAGGATCTATTCAGTCTGAATTGTAAGTGTACATCCTGGTTGTCACTCACTTGTGAGATTTTTTCCAGTTGGTTCCACTAGGCTCTGTGCCACAGTCATATGCCTGAATGATAAATGTGTACTCCTTCTGCAATTCACAGTCAATTGGACTTCTTGCTCGAAGCTGACCTTCTCCAGATGTCTTGTTTAGGACTACAGCTTCAAAGGGCATTTCTTGTCCATGGATTTTAAAAGCACAGATTTCACCTATAAGAAATAACAAAGAAATCCAGAAAAATTATATGGATATTGTGCAAGCAGTTTATAACCCATTGTTTGAAACATTTTGGTATTTATAACATTCTTATTTATAAAAAAACAATACAAGCAGTTTTCTGAGTACAATTATTAATAAATGTTATCAACTGACTCATCATGATTAATATACAAAATAAAGTTGCAATTTGAAAATATTGGATATTTAATTTTCTTTATACTTGCTAAAAAAGCAGAATCCTATACTACAGATAACATTAGGGACACAGTGTACACATATGTATATACTCACTATGCATACATATTCAGAGCAATGTCCTTCCATACTTAACATTTTCTGAAAAGAACTATTCACATGATATTCATATATTTTTCTACTTGCAGTATATACCAGTAGTTATTTTAATTACTCTTATCTTTTATTTTCCAAGAGTCTCCACTGCAGCTAAGAATGAAGAATTTAGCCACCTGATCACTCATTTGCAATTTATTGTTCATGTTTCAAGAAATTTTCCCAGTCTATATATGGAAATTCTGTTCACTTATTGATCCAAGTTAATGTGCTGGCTAAAGTGAGCTAGTTTTAAATCTGGGCTGTCAATATTGATCAATACATAATCTTGTATTGATACAAAGGAAAGGAATGAAGGCAAAACAGCACCATCTAATGCAGAATGCCAATTAGTGTAATTAAACATTATGTTATATGAAAATACCATTACGCAGGTTCAATGAGCCACATTCAGAAAATCTGAAATACTCATTAAAAAAGAAAGTATATTTGATTTTTCTTTATCTTTTATCATCATCAGTAAATAAATTATCTCAAAAAATGTTTCATCCTTAAATGCTAATAAACGTATCTATATCTATTTTTCTATATGCCAATGAAAAAAAATGTTATCCTTTACTCAGATAGTCCTAAGGAAAAGGTTGCAGCATTCTATAGGAAAGAAAAAAAAGGTTTTATTAATGTTAAAACAAAAGTCACTGGATTACTAAAAGCTTCATTTGTTGTGACTAGATTAAAAAACGTAACAATTTGAAACAACAAATATTTAGCTGTTGCCTTCTAGTTACCGATACCTTTAAAAATATTTGTTAATGATTAATGTAATGTTCTAAAGTTATTATATATTAGGAATAAGTAAACTATATATATAAAGTTGATTCTGAGACAAGAATTCATATTTTTAAACAGTCATATACTTCTGAACTAACTTAATACACAGAAAATGATGACTGGACATAGCCAGAAATTAATTCCAAGTAAATCTTCTGCCTGGACTCGCTCTTGCAGTTTTCTCAACAAGATATTTCAGAAGTAGTTTGCTATTTGCTAAGAGTGTGATTGGCCAAGGCCTCAGCTGGCTTCATGCATAAAGCATGTATAGTGGGGCATATCAATTTTTTCCATTTTCAATTTCCAGACATTAGGGATGCTCCTCTTACCTCTCTGGGAGGTCGCAGTCAGTGTTGGTCGGAGGACAGAGGTCGACCCCTAGGCCCCTTGAATACGGGTGCCGCAGGGCTTGGTCCTGTCCCCCCTCCTATTTAACATCTACATGAAGCCGCTGGGTGAGATCATTCGTAGGGACGGGATTAAATACCACCAGTATGCGGATGATACCCAGCTGTATCTGTCCCCCCCGTGCCAACTCAGTGAAGCGGTGGAAGTAATGTGCCAGTGCTTGGAGGCTGTCAGGGTCTGGATGGGAATGAACAAGCTTGCGCTCAACCCGGACAAGGCTTTGGATGCTGCCCCCCACAAAATAGTCCAGATATTCTACTACTAATCCTGGGGGGTGAAATCTTAC